ATTTTAACTTCTAAAATAACTTTTCTTTAACCAATTTATTTTACACTTACAATGATCCTTTGAGTGTGAAAGGCATACGATAGGCAGCTTTGTTTGTTGCTTGGTAAATGCAGGCCCTGTATTGTTTTAGAAGCACTTATCCCCCAAAAAGAATAACTTTGCCTCTGAGGTTAATTTAATGTCAAAAACACACAATGCAAATTTAAATGCTCCTGACTGATGAATCATGGAAAAGAGATCGTGGTTAACAGTGTGTAGAGAAAGGCAGGCATTTCTTGGCTCCTTAGAGAAAACAGCCACAGGGAGTCAATACCGGAGACATTGGCAGAACAGGTGGAAAATAGCTCAGGTTGTCCTGACCTCAAATTAGCTGGAAGTAACCCAACCTTGTTTTCTGCAGGTGTTGGGCTTGGTCTATGAGATTTCTTCCCGTTGGTAGGAAGGCTGCCTCCAAAGACAACTTCCCAGGGCCCCAAGGTGCTGGGTCACTTGCCTTACTCAGCCACACCAGACAGCTGGCATCCCAACCCTAACATGCCAGTGGTCAGCTGTTCACTTCCCCTCTGCCAGGGCTGTTGGAACAGAGAACCTAGATGCTGTCGGGTGTCCAGAGAGTGGTCTGCTATGCTCAGCCTCTCCATGGGAGAAAATGAAGTTTGGTAGCTGCTGATTTCTCCACTTGCTGGCTCCCATCCCCAAAGGCTATTGTTACTTCCCTCTGAGTCCTGCCACACTGTGTGAATTTCAATAAATGTGTCTTCAAAGAAGCCAGCAAGGAAGTTCTGGCTAACGAGGCTTAGAAAGGAAAGCCCCCCATGGGTGGAGTCGAAGGGCAGCAGGCCCCACGGCCGAGTCTGTTCTGTGCCATCAGGTGTATCTATTAGACGGCACTGAAGTAGCCGCCTGTGCGGAGCTAGTCCGGCCTTAAAGGGCTCGGCCTTCCCCACATCACCGACACGTGCGGTCACGGGGTCATCTCATAACCTCAGATGCGTGAGCACGCTCTTCGGTTCTCAGTGTCTGCTTCGTGTGGCTTTTCCTCAGTCTTGTAATGAAAAGAGGATGCCTTTCGGCTCAGGGCAATAACAGGACGGTGGTGACCGTCACACAAGGCTTGGAGCAGCTTCTAGGAGCAAGAAGCAGTTTCAAGAATAACAGATCGGGCAACCGTAAGGACGGACCAGTCTCCTTATCGACCCACCGCAAATGAAGGCAGGCCGTGGCAAACTGCTTTTCTCTGACATCCCTGATGCAGACCGATTATCCCCTTAGAGGAAGGAGCATTTAAAACCTGGGCCCTGGGCCCCCATCCCAGGACCTCCCGGAATTGGCACTGTCTCCCTGTCCCCAGCTGCCAGTGACCACGAAGGGCGTAAAGGCCAGAAGGAACCCGCAGAGCCGGGTCTCTACCTGCAGCGCTCCTGAAAATTAAACTTGAGAGAATTATCCATATATATTCTTAGGACGGTCTCAAGGGGGATTTTTTAAATACGTTATTCAATTCTGTGGGAAGTCTGTCATTCTGTAACAGTAACCTGAGTAAATTCATTCACCTTTGAGAAAATCAGACTATCTAAAGAGTCTGCTAACATTCAGGTTTTCCTCCCTTTGGCCAGGAAAGTTAAGAAAAAGCCACTGATATAAATTAGAATATTTTTTTTAATCCTTACCTGAGGATATGTCTTTCTATTTCTTTTCAGAGAGAGTGGAAGGGAGAGAGAAAAAGAGAAAGAGAAAGAGAAAAAGAGAGAGAGAGAGAGAGAGAGAGAGAGAGACATCGATGTGAGAGACACATCGAATCAGTGCCTCCTGCATGTGCCCTGACCAGGGCCAGGGATTGAGCCTGCAACCCAGGTATGTGTCCTTGACTGGAATCGAACCCAGGACCCTTCAGTCCACAGGCCAGTGCTCTAGCCACTGAGCCAAACCGGGTGATATTGCCAATTTTTAAAAAAATATGTTTTTATTGGTATTTTAGAGAGAGAGAGAGGCGGGGGAGGGAGAGGGAGAGAGAGAAACATGGATCGACTGCCTCCCACATGTGCCTTGACCGGGGCCAGGGATCGAGCCTGCAACTGAGGTACATGCCCTTGGCTGGATTCGAACCTGGGATCCTTCAGCCTGCGGGCCGAAGCTCTAACCACCGAACCATAAAAATGGCTCCTAACATGCTTTATCGGTCGCATGGATCATGAGAGTCGACGGTTCTATGTGCTGTCCGGTACAAACTGTCCCGGCATCTGTCCCTCCTCCTGTTAGATTTTACACTTCATGCTGAGAACAGCGTCTCCCACATACGTACATAAAAGTGTTCGCTGATATATTCTCTAAAACTACCTATTTCCCCGAAGACCCCAGCTGTGGCTCTCGGATCTTCTTTTTCTGGGATTCTGTGGACCGAGGAAATGTGTCGGCTGCTGTTCTTTTTGCAGCAGCCGCTGATGAAATGCGCAGCTGATCTCCGGCACATTATGTTCCCCAGAGGGGCTCTCGGCTCGAGGCGGCCGGCTGGTCGTGTTTCATTTGTGGGCCTGGGCTGTTGAGAGGAAATTCTAATTCGCTGCGTCCGCGTAATGCATGGTGTGCCGTTGCTCTCTCAACAGCACACGGCGCTAAAAAATGGGTTCACGACTTCAGGTCTTTAATGGTGACCTCGGGGATTTTATTTGGCATCACTTTGCTACATTTATATTTTATGGTTCGCATTTATTAGAAAATTTCCCTCATTTGTTTTCGCGGCATCCTTTCTTAAATGGACGCTGTGGTCGTAATGAAGCTGTTTTATGTGTGGGTCGCATTGCTCGGCTCTCCAGTGCATCCCCCGCGCCATTTCATTTTGCTCCTGACCACAGGCGGGAGAAGTTTATTACGCACATTTCACAGCCGCGAGAAAGAGGGTGGAGGGGAAGGTGACTTCCCCGGGCCACGGGGATGGTGAACGGCGAGGCTGGCGCCGGGCTGTGCGCAGTCGGCAGCGAGCCTCAGACAGACTGACGTCGTGCCCTGAGGGAACCTGCATTTTGATAAATGACTGCAATTTTTCGCTAGTAATTTGGCAACAAAGAATAACTATTTGGCAAGAGTGTGGGAAACAGGGCCCTTCAGACACATGGCGGAAGAGTGAAATGATTATTGGAAAAGCCTACAGTGTAAGTGAAGACACCCCTCACCCTGAAATCCCTGAGCCAGAACCTTTCCTGAAGGCGAGAGAACAGGGTGACTGTCTGCCCCCTCACTTGCTGGATTGGGGGTGGGGGAGACTGTCAGTAAGAATCAGAACAGGCGCCTCCGCGAGAACTGATGCGAAGCGTGGATGCTGCGGCTGAGTCTCTGAGTGTGAACACCGGCTCCCACCTGCGCCGGGTGTGTGAAGCCAGCTCCCAGGTGTGACTGCTGCTCACACCTGCGCCGGGTGTGTGAAGCCAGCTCCCAGGTGTGACTGCTGCTCACACCTGCGCCAGGTGTGTGAAGCTGACTCCCACCTGCACCGGGGTGTGTGAACCGGGGCACCTCTGTCTGTGCCTTGGTTTTATCATCCGTGCGATGAAAATATTGTCAACCCTGGACTCACACGACCCAGGTGAGCACCCGGGAGACAAGAGCACGGGGCATTTAGCACGGTGGCCTTGATACGTGAGACTCAACATTAGCTCCGATATTACTGCTGCTGTTCCTAGAATGCTTATCATAAGTGATGGACCAGTAACATGGTTTCATTATTAGTAGTAGCAATAGTAATGGACCGGTGACAGGGAAAGATGTCCAGGATATCCCACGCGAGAAGCGTCCGTCCCCCATGTAGCCAGAGGGCGGCCCAGGCGTTTTTAAGGCGCGGATGGCGCGCTCAGCTGGGGCTCCTTGTCAGCATGTGAACGGCTCATCACTAACTGAAATGAGGGAGCCAGTGAGTAAAATGGCCAGCACTGTTTTTTGCTTTATTTGTCTGTTTGTTGTCTAGCAGGAGAATCTGTTGACATTATCAGGGACAAGCTGTCTCAGCAGGAAAGAGAAGCCTCGGCACATACGTGTAGACGAAGAAAGAGCAGGCGAAACCTGAGAGGTGACCTCTGTGGATGGGGGACCTGCCTGGCTCCGTGGTGTCACAGCCACCACCTGACACGACCTGTGTGACGTGTGAAAGCGGGTGACCCAGTTGCAAAGACATTTCCCTTTGTTCCAAGGACACTGACCAGCATGGACACCCTCAGGTCCCATTTCTATTTTCCATAGAACAGGCCTCCTCCGATGTGACGCCTGTCCTCATGGCCTGTGTCTGGAGGAGCTGATGACGGCCTGGTGGGCTGCAGAGCAGGTGGGGTCCCCGCAGGTGCAGCGCAGGCCTCACGTGTCATCCTTAGACCAGACCGAGGGCTCTGGATCTGAGCTCCACAGACGGACAGGGAGGTTCCCCACCCGGTTCCCCCCCCCACACCCGTCCCCTTCGGAACAGTTTTCCCCAGTGTAGGGGCTTTTTGTAAGACACCCAGCATTACTCTAGAAAGCGCCTGTACTCACAAAAACACTGATAGAATCAGACCCCAGGGAAGTAGAACGGAAGAAAGTTGAGAGGCTCATCATTTCTACTTTCTGCTTTCTGTAAATTCTAATTTTTTGCCATAGTTTTTAATGATTTGGAAAAAACATTTTTACTGATAAAACATCACCCTGAATGAGTCCTCCCATGAAATCGGTTTGGACCCCATGGGACTGGCCCTGTGCGGATTTATCGAGCGTTGCACCAGTCTGGAGGGCACACCCCCAGGGCACCCCCCC